ACTATATGTAGGTACTTCTTATATTACGGTTGATAAAAATAACTGGGAAAGCTTTTATCTTACTCCGTGCTTTCCCGAGCTATTTATACATATGATTGTTTATTTACACTCAACGAGCTATTATGCGATTTAATTGCTACTTCTGCCTTTATTAAAACAGGATCAGTTCTCTTTATTGTTGAAAATAAAAATTCTTTAGGTCCTATTTGATGATTTATTGAAGGATTTTCCTTAGTCGTTTTCTATCATTAAAATTAGCAGTGTGTAGGTAGTAACAAACGAGTACAGAAGAATTTGCTTTCAATTTTGCAAATAGTTATTTTAGGTAATGGAAAAATTATTGTGTAGAAAGACGAATCCATGAAGTAGGTTGTGTTTTTAAAGCTTAAAAATAAAACACAGTTTGATCGTTTCTTTTATTCTCGTTGGATGGACTTATTTTTTTTTAATAATTCATTAAAACATTAAATGCCCGAACTAATTCCAAATGAGATTAAGATTGAGATAGTATGGCTAAAATTTCATTTACGATGAAATGCCAATAGTGGAAAAAAGAACCTAAAGAAAAGAGACTAAAATTTGAGTAGTCTTGTTTTTAAAAAGGACCCTTTAACATGTCATCTTTCACAATTTTCAGTAATAAACTTTTACTGTACTTTTACAAGATATATTTCGATAATTTGAAAAATTAACTTTTCCACTTTGTTTTTCATAAACATTTTTGTACCTACTGTGCGGGTCTTTTTTTAAACAAAAAAGGAAAATATGTTGTCAGAGTTGAATATCGACTCTCATCCACCTCCACTCATTCTAGGATGTAGCTCAGTAAAGGTAGATAAATACTCAATTAGTCTGAGGAACTCAAAGTTGTGACGAAAAATAAATAAAAGATTTGTGAAAATAATCAATTGTTTCTTTATTCGTATATTTAAATATGAATTTTCACCATTAAATATCGAGACAATTCAAAGTTTTACTTATGAATAAAAAATTTAATACGCATACATCAGTTTCATTCACCCTCTATAGTGGAGAACTTTTTACTCACGAAGACAGTAAATAAGCAATTACTGCAGTAATATACTTTAATTATGTAACGTGTATAGTCGTAACTATATATGTATGTATGCATTGATTTTACCTTATTCATTTATTCAAGGAAGAAATAAAACTTAATTACTAATAAAAATTAGACACACATATATCTACAATGTATGTCTACTATTCATTGCTAGTAGATACTGGAATATTTGCCTATATCGGCAAACAAAAAGTAGTGCCTATTTTACTGCCACAAAATACAATTATTTATTTCAATGCAAGTAGTATAATTAAACCAAAGTGTTTTAATGATACAAACCTGTAAAAACTTGTGTAAAATAAGGTATAATTGTACTCGTTAATATTATTGATAAAACGAATGCTTAAGTATTTCTGTAATACGTAACTAATTAGGAAATTGTGGTTTTGAATGATTTCCGCAATATCGCAGAACGGGGCTAATATCGAAAATAAATAAAAAATTGCAATACAAACAGTTAAAATAAGCATTGACGCCGGAAACGTGTAATTGCAAGTTCTGGCCCATGTGCTGGCCCACTCTGAATATTATTAATTTAACCCGGATATGCAAAGTAAAATTTAAAACCGCAAACATTCAAACATAACACTCGATGCAAAATTGTGCGACATTATTATTTAATGATGCAAAAGTATCTGACAAATATTGGTGATAGCTTTCGCGGCCAGTAGGTGTATCAGGACAGGACTTTGTCCAAATGAAGAGCTTTTGCGATTATTTTCTCTATCAACATATGGTTTTTAATTTACGTATCTACCCATGAAAATTTCACTTCTTGGCCGAGAAGCGGTTAAAAGTATCATAAGATTCTTTACTTTTCCTGTCCAGGTGCGGAATATACTGATTTTGTCATGAAACTCAAAGCGTCTTCGGTAATATGGAAGTTAAAATTTGCAGCGATGTAGTCCACTACTGGTCCATACAAAAAGAAAATCTGCCACCAGTATTTCAAGGACCAAAGGTTTTACTTGGATCTTTTTTAAAATTTCAATTCAAGTTTTATTTTTTTATGTATGCACACAAACGGAGTAAGATTGTGTTCATACCAAAAAACGGAAAATTTTAAAACAACTAGCTTTTATCTTTTCATTGATTGTACTGAGAGTGATGGATTATAAAACGGAAGAGATTTTAGGGGATGACCATATTTGGGCTTAAAAAAAAGACGGGAAAACGCATGAGACCACATAGCTTTACCAATATTAATTGGGAAAACAACAGAAAAGAGATTCGTAGAGCTAGAAATGTTAAAAATACTTAAGGACGTAAGGATGAGATTTAGATATAGAAGAGTAATATATAGTTCATATAAAGAGCAATAGGAATGTTATAGAATTTGAGAAACATCTTAGAGAAGTAAATATTTGGAAGAGAGTTAGACAAGGATTTTAAGTACAAATTTTTCTATTTACCGACACAATAATTGTCTTAAATGCTGAAATTCTCTGACATACATAGGAGCTTGTCATAACTTTTAATTAAAATAGTGTCAATAGTTTATTTTTATATTTTATAGAGTTAAAAAACCCTTCCTGAACGCATAAATTGACCTTTTAGTCTTGCTTTTGTTCGTTGGGTTTTGGTTTTAGTCTTGGTCTTATCTTTCTGCCTTAGACTCGGTTTTGTTAGTATAAAGACAGCCTTAGTGTTGGTATTTTTGCACATGGCACAATACAAAGAGTGCAAGATCAAGACCGATTGTGTTCATCGCTAATGGTATGAAAATTAATAAAAATGAAGAAAAATATTGGCATGTAAGGGATGTAAAATAAGAGGATAGGGTCGAGTGGTTTTTAACAAAAAGAAGTCAATTATGTGCCCGATCGATCGAATTGAAGACGATCTGTAAAGATCTTATGATGATGATGAATCTTACTGTATATACCGTATAGGTATTCCATTATTTCTGCAAAAATAATTAAATAACTAACCACGGAATTTTCCATTTACTAATAAACTTAGGTAATGCTTGCAGAAAAGATTGCATTTCTTATTCATTCTGTCGTAACACCTCACAGATTTTGGAGTTAATTAAAATTGATCTGTTGTCAAGTTTGCCATTGGTGGACATATTTCAATTTTTTAACTGAAAAGCATATTGTACAATTATACTTAAGCTTTCGTTGGCTTTTCTCGATGAAACTTTTGTAAGACAACAAATATTTATTCGACTCGATAATTCGACTCATTATCAAAAGTACAAAATTGTAGTTTTGATAATGCCAGTCGAAACAATTGTTCAGGCAATAAATATTTCTTGAAGTATTCTTTCCGTATTTTCCTTATTATCGTAGTGTTTCCAAAGAAGTAAATAACTGATTTCGGGACACCGTGTATATTATGTACCAATGTCTTTCCACCAAAGAGAATACGGATTAGCTTTAACGTACTGTTATGATTATTTATAGGTAATTGATGGTAAATATGTTTAACTGGCGGCAAATCGCTAAGTTCAATCGCCGAAGTTGAATGAATCTAATAATAAATCAGTTAGTTACCTCTACTGGAAGGCTTGCATTTTCCAAATAAATTATGTCACCGTGATTTAATCTAAGAACTAAGTTGTTATGGTGAATGCACTGTAGAATAATCGCGCCATGTCACGAATAAGTCCTGACTTTACGAAAGATATACTATATAATACTACTACAGGGTGATTCATTAAAAACGGAAATTTTCAAACTCTAATTCTGTACATTGGATTCTTACATATAAATATTATTTTTATTTATGTTTGTACTAGGATTGCCATCTTTTAAATATGTTTATACAATCAGGAAATTTTTATTTACACATAAGTGGAAAACACCATATGAACGATGTTGTCAAGGATAAATAATATAACGTTTTTAATTGGGACTTTGTGAAGGCAAATATAATTTATTGATTGTTCTACTGAAAAGGGCATCTACTCTTGGATAAAATAATTTTTGAATTTGGAATTATAACTGCTATTCATAATTATACGATTAATACGTGAACATCGAATTAAATTTGTTATTAATTAATACGCTTCACAACTTTTTAACTTTATAAGAAAATTTATTAGAAGAAGAGAATATGAAAATGAAGAGTTAAAATATTAAAACAAGGATAATGCTTGTGAAGAAAGGACGAATGGTAAAAAATTGTCTCTTTGTAAATGCGCTTTTCACAAGGTTTTTCCGTATTCAATGAAGCTTTTAATTGTTGAAAAGTAGGTAAATTATGATAAAGGTGTTATCCTGTGCCAGCAACAGAGTTCCCAATTTTTTTACTGAATTTTATGAAAACGCGCTTTTTAATCATTGAAATTACTTCGGAAAGTCCGTGGTTAATATTTTGTACATAAACTTGAAGGTAAGATAACAAAAGTTCAAGATTCAAAGATTTTATTTGTTCGTATTTTCAAACTTCTTTAGTAATATACTTATGCTACTGGTACTTAATTTTAATAAGCTAATAAAAGTGTTTCTATTAAACTAATAAACGAACCCGCACTGTATCTATTTAATAAGGCTTAAATATGTACGAGATTATTTATCCGAAGGGTTTCTTTTAATCTTTTTATCTTTAAACTTGTTAGTTATAAGTATAATAAAAAAAAAATTATGATGAAGTCCGCTATTTTTACTGATGATTTGTTTTTTCATAATATCTAACAATTATTTATAATGCAAACGCACTGAAATTATTATTTCTTATCAGGAATATTAACAACAGGGCATTTACTATATCTTAAAAAAGTCTCACCCTGTATATTAAACTAAAATGGATATGTTCTATAGGCAACCCATTATCAGCTGGTATATGTGCAGTCGTCTACCTTGGGTCTATGTTTGAAATTTCCAACTTTACTTTCAAATAATAGAGGTCCCTCCAGGAGAAATATTTAGTCAATACAATAAATGTATTTACAGTCTTCTATTCTCTCTAGAAATTTGCTCAAGTTTAGTGGGGATAATTCATCCCATTGAAAAAAAATATTTTCGTTAGAATCGCGTACTTGAGGCAGTTTAAAATGGCTAATTCGTTGTTGTGACGCTCGAAAAAATTCATATAAAGTGCGTCAAATCATTCTCGTGATTTTTTAAATAATTCTCGTGTTCATTTGAAAAGGTAAGACAATTCATATGTTATCGTACGCATAAGGTATATTTCATGTATAAGAATTTAAGCTATAAAAGCTTTGAACGGGTTTATATTTTGTTGTTTCGCAAACAAAATAATTTGTGGAAAATTATGTTTTACGTGGTTGTAAACTTTTAATAGGATATCCTAAATATTTGATTGCTTTGGTGTCATTATCGAAGGAACCATGCCGGTTTATCTAATGATTAAAAACAAAATCCGCCAACCACGTTGTCTCTAGAAAGCGTCTTTTTGTTATAATATTTTTAATTTCGGTTTCGGTAAATATTTAAAGTAAACAATTTATTAATCATAATTAAATATTACTTTGCTATATAAGAAAAAAAAATCATTTTAATTTTGAGTAGAGTAGATAGGTAGGCAGGTTGAATTAGTTTTTTTTTTAATTTTCTAATCCAATAACACCAATTTTTTATACACATATGTTTACAGAAAGCTTGTTCATACAATTATTCTTATTTAGAAAAACAAAAATGCGAAACGTAACTCTTTTTTTTAATGATATTAAACTGGGGGCTTAGACCTTTTGCAGCCAAAAAACTGTATGGTTTGCTGCAATTGTACTACGTACTTTTTATGATTCCGAAACTTACAGAACAGCTACTTTCTTTCTACACCTCTTTTACAGGTAAGTAAACGTTTACAATGCAAACTGCCAGGTATCAGACCCGTTAGGTATTTATTTTATTATAGTCAAATATTCATTTAAAATTATTCCTACAAACAGGTAGAATGCAGAAGTCATGTTTCTCGTATACGGTAAACTTCGGCAAATGTGTACAATACAATCTGTACAATAAATAAAATTAAAGTGTTTGTCTGTAATTATAAATTTATGTATGTATATTGTATAGGTTCTTTTATCACAAACTGCTTGAACGTAAAAAATAAAGAGAGTTGTAGCATTTAAAAACAGTTTTCGTTAAAGCTAATCAATTTTTGGATAAAAATAGCTTTTGAATGCACATTTTATTTAAAAAATTATACTCTCGGTTAAATAATATAAACGGTTTTAAAATAAATAAATCGTAAGTAAGTTTCATTTTAATTATTTAGTTAAACTAAACTTAAACGGGGAATATTATATTATTCCTGCTTACAAAAAATTAAATGATAACAATACAATTTCAAATTTAAAGTATGTATACTCATTGCAATGATATTACCGACACCTCGGCTATCTTAAAAGTAAAGTTTGTTGTCCTTTTCATTCTGCAATAAAACATTTTGTAATGATTTCGTCTACACGTTTTACTTAAATCCTTTAATTTTTTTTGTTATTATACAGTTTTAAGTTTAATTGAAGGTCATGTAATGAGTTATTATACATTCTTTGATTGAGCCGTACAAAACAACAGATAAGTCTTAACTAAAATTGTAGACGTACTCATTAGTCAAGGTTCCATCCTTTGCTATCATACGCACTATGTACCAGCTGATAACTCGTCTACGATTTCGTATTCTAAAGAAACCGTAACGTCACAACAATTCTAAATTTGATTTATTAATTTTTAAATTAATTTTACTCACTAAGTACAGATTACCTCTTTATAGCTTAGTTGTAGAGTATTAGAGTGTAAAACCAGCGCCCGGGTTCAATTCCCGGCAAGGAAATGACAGCAACAACTATTTTTCCTCATTAATTTGAAGTTATTTGTAATGGGTAAAATTAATTCACTAATACATTGAATTAACGCTACAAAAATTCAAAGTATCTCAATTCTAAAGTACGTAAGCAATATCGAAATTTATAATTAACGTACACATAATATTATGATGTAAAATAATAATATTACTCATCCAAAAATGAAGTTATAAACGCTTTTATGATTTATTTCATTTAGGTTTATTTGAATTTCATTATTTTGCTTGTTATTATTGTTTTGTATTCCACATTTCAAACTTTTGGTTATCAGAAAGATAAAATGAATTCAGTTACAAGTATATATATATTTAACGTTTGCTTTTATTATAGATTAGCATTAAAGAGATCTTATTTTGTCAGCGCAACTCGTTTGATTTATATATCAACGCATACGGAATAGAAAATTTTTCATTCGTATAATTTATGTAAGTGCCTATTAGGTAAGCGAAACATATGTATCATTTTGAAGTTTAAAGAAATATTGCAGTTAGGTATGTTCTGCAATACTTTTTTTGTTGATTTATTTAGATTTACTTATTTCGAAATTTGTTTTTGTTCTTCATAAAATGGTGTAAAAAAGTACCTACTATGCATTTATGAAATTATATTTTGCACCCTTTTAATTTAATATTGCATACCTAATCACGTTTTTTTCAGTGTGATCAAATTTTGTATTTATCAATAAATAATCAATTGAAACGGTAGATATTGAGTTATTGCCTTTTTTCGAATTTGAAATTGGCGTTTCTACCATCGATTGAAGTATTGTTAGGTCACTTTTCTTTTTAATTCTTGTGTTGGAGGATATTTAAATTTCATTTATTTGTTTAGTTCTATAATTAAGGTCGTTTTAAAGGCTATTCTGTTGTTAACGGAATTCGCCTAACGTAAAAAAAATCTTCATCCATTGCCACATATTCAAAATTAGTTTATTTTCCCATTTGGATATCCAGCGTAAAACATATCGCATTAAATTAATTTTGCGTTTTTAATATGCAAACCGATTAGGAGTTTCAATTTCAATGTAAATATTAATCTGGGGGAATTACTTTCTGCATTGGCATTATTTTTTCTGTGTAAAGCATGCTTTATATTTGTGTTAAATAAAATATACTACGGCGAGTTAGTGTGTTTGTAGCTTTATATCCGTAGGTTTGTAGTGTAAAGGTTGATGATTTTACATTGAAAATTGAGCCTCGACCTTGCTTGTTGAAACGGCGGTTGAGGTAATATAACTTTTCCTTTTCTGTAAACAGTATTCAGAAGTTTCAATGTTATACAATTCTTAAAAAGGTTCTAATTACTTCTTCATCAAGTTCTGTATAACATACATATTGTTAAAAATGTAAAGCTTTCAATTTTTTTACTATCGTCTATTTAACATTTAAAAAAAGAACGAAGTATATATTTCATTAAGCGTTTTACATTCAAAAGCCTCTTCACGACACCTATCTATCCAATAGTAACCTTGAAAATCGCATATTTATCAAAAACTATAGTAAAACAAACAGTTCACTCTTGTTTTCCTGAAAATCTTAGGAAAACCTCAATTTTTCGTAATTTTATTATTATTAGGACAGAGACTACTACAAAAAGAATGAAAGTAAATAAAAATTGCATATTACTACGATTTTATTAAGACTGTAATGAATGATACCTATATCAGTGCAAATCAAACATTAGCATTTGGGAAAATATATGTACACATTTTGTCAAATATCCCATGTTCATGCTCCTTGTGGTGGTCTCTATAGTCACACTTTTAGTGCAAATTTTCGTAAATATTTATATGTTTAAGCTTTCTTACGTAAAAATGAGATTTCTTGTTTTCCATATAACTATTAGTTAAGCATTTCCCAAACATTATATGTTATTACCCGTACGACCTATTGGAGAAATTGATTTTATGCCTCTTTAAAATGTTCTCAAAGGAAACAGAGTAGATATAATAAAAATTGTCTTTATTTTATCCACCATTATCGGTTATATTTTATCTCAACTTTTTCGCGGCAATTTTTCTCGAAATCGAACGGAAGGTCATTCCTTATGTAATTCTTCATGCCCTTTCTGTTGAAGTAAGCTGTTTTTCTTTATTCATTCTCAAGATATGATCATTTCAAAAGTTTGCACACATTCTGTACTATTTTTCCGTGGTGCTGCCACAAGAGTTCGTATTGTAGATTAGTACTAATCATGCATGTAGACTTGAAGGTCTAGTGAGAGACATATTAGTGTCAGAAGCAGGAGTTAAGAGGAGTACAGGTAGACCTAGATTAGATTACTGTTCGCAAACAGTTAGGGATGTGGGATGTTTTAGTTTTAGGGAAATGTAAAGATTAGCTCAGGATATGAAGGAAGCAGGCGCGTGTCCAACCAGTCTTAGGACTGACGACCGTATGATGTTAACTAATGCCAATGGAATTTCTAGATTAAATAATAATTTTGGAGATAGTCGGTTGTGGCAGTCAAACACATGGGTGATTTCTCTGAAAAAGAAAAAGTAGCAAATGCTCTACAAAAACTACAAAATATTAAAATGCTTAAGATCTATTTTGGTTTAATTAATTATACACCGAATTGAATGGTTAAGGAGAAAATCTTGATTGACATTTTTGTATAGGAAAATGGAAACTAAATTTATTTGCTATTTTTTTTTTATTTATAACCCTTATGCTAAGAAACGCTTTTTTTAAATATTTTATTCAAATATTCGCAATTATTCGGTAGTCCAAAAAGTAATTTATAAATTTGATATTTGTAGCTATTCACGACGATGTACGAAATCTTCCCAGTATACACAATGTTATCACTACGTAAATAGTTTAATGTGACACGATTGCTCATTGATATCGTATTTTTTTGCAAATCTTTATCATTAAATTACTGATACGATTGCTTCTATATAATATATATCACAACAAAATATATATCACATATTTTAATTTTTTACATGTCTCTAAAAGCATCTTTGTGACACGGTATCAGAAGTTAATTATTTTGATATTTCGAAGCAAATGAATCTTGTAAAATTGTAGAAAACTGTACAAACACTTGTCATCCAACAAGAAACTATGTATACCTTCTTATCGTGTTTTGAAATTGCCTTTTTGATGTTTTGTCGCCATAAAATTACTTAAAGTATGATTGCAATATATTTTCTATACATATAATTTATCGAGAAATTTACATTTAAACGTTAGTTTTCCACTAGAAAACCTTGTTGAACATTTAATTCAATAAATAATACACTTTACAATACCAATAAGATAAGGCATGTTATCAAAAACAAGATCAAGTCCAATAAGGTCATTGTGGTGGTCATTACTAGTCCTTGTTTTGATCTTCATTTCGTCTTAAATCGTCGTGCTTCGGTCTCATTTGACAGATATAATAAAACGGATTTTTATATGTATAGGTGCAGAAAGATTCGTTTCGGCAACATAATTGCAAAAATCAAAAACAAAAATAACATAAAAAACAATACAGAAGTCCCAGCGAAATGCAACTTTTTCTACGCTCCCTATTACTTACGAAGTTCCAATATTGTGGTTATTATTTTTAATTTATTATTTAATATAGCCTATTTAGATAAATGACTGAATTTACCAGGAAATGAGTAATTTCTGTTGAAACCAGCACGAGCTGATTCGAAGCAGAAGCAAGCAAACATCTAAATTGAAGTAATAAACGGTTGCTTCGTTCGTGTTCAGTTTCCATCACGCAATTGGTAATCGATTTTGCTTTTAATAGAACGATACAAACGGAATTTATTATATAGAATATTTTATTAATCGTTAAACAAAATTGTCTGTCAAATTATGTACTTCTTTTATACCGCATTATACAATTTGCATGAATTTTATAATGGCGTGTTTGGTAATATCAGTTGATTAATAGCTCAATAAACGTGATTGATTTTTTGTGTTTTGTTGCCGCGTTTTGTGCTTATTAAGTGTAAACGTTTTGCCATGCTTAGAAATTAACATCTTCGGTGCGTTTTGTATTATCGTTAACAGCTGAATTCAACATTGAAGATTGCTAAGCATGGCGAAACATTTGCAGCTAAGCAAAAGAATATGTAACCAACTGTACACGCGAAAAATTATTCATAATAATGAAAAAGTTGAGTGGTAATCTTGGTATCAGGCAATCTATTGTTGTTCTGTCATTGCCTGAAGAGGTCAACTGTAGTTGACGACAGCTTGCACCAAATATTAACATAGAAAAAAATGTTGTATCCAGATTACCACTCAAGTTTTTCTTTATTTAATTTCCTGGGTAAGGTTTTTAAATTATTATTCACAAAAATTATTCATTAGAATACATACAGTCGAATTTAGACCTGGTCACTTTTTTCTCAATTGTTTTGTACCGTCAAAATTAGATACTTTTGTATGTAGATTCTAATTAAATGGAAAAAAGTATCCCTTTCTCCGTCAGTTACCTTTGGGCTATTTTGTTCCTATAGATTATGGTTGCAAGACAAATACATTTCTTAACCTTATAAAATCGTTTAATAAAGTCGGATGAAGTTTTACAAAACCCTAATTCTTAAATATTTAAATTGTTATACGAATATACATACATTTTTTACTCGTTTTGAACATTTTTAAAAGTTCCTTTTGATTTATTATCTGTATCGTAGCCAGGCCCATCTTTCCCACTGGGCATTCTGGGAAAGTGCCCAGGGCCCCGCAATCGACGAGGCCCCTTAGTTTCTGTCAGATCCATCCATCAACGGAAAACCAATATTTATTATCGATAAATATATTTATTTTGAAGAAATCAATCATTAATTACATAAAAAAAATTGAAAACACATTTCCAAATGTAATAGAAGGTGCATTGAGAATCTTTTTAAGTATGATGATAACTAACTGCATTGGGGAGCGCTCTTTCTCTAAATTGAAAAGAATAAAAAATTAATTAAGAAGTACAACGCTTCAAGAAAAATTGACCAGTATGTCGCTAATGCCCATGGAATGTGATGAGACGATTTTGCTTTTATCAAAAGTTTTTAATAAACATAGAATTTTAAACATTAACCTGTGAATGCTAAATGGAATTACTCTTCCGAATTATATTACAATTATTGTGATTATAAAGAAACAAATAATTTTTCAGTAAATTTAGAATTTTGTAAGACTGTAATGAATGATACCTATATCAGTGCAAATCAAACATTAGCATTTGGGAAAATATATGTACACATTTTGTCAAATATCCCATGTTCATGCTCCTTGTGGTGGTCTCTATAGTCACACTTTTAGTGCAAATTTTCGTAAATATTTATATGTTTANAAACATTAACCTGTGAATGCTAAATGGAATTACTCTTCCGAATTATATTACAATTATTGTGATTATAAAGAAACAAATAATTTTTCAGTAAATTTAGAATTTTGTTTAGATATCTACTCTTTTAAAATAGTCCTCTATCAAAGCCATAGCGGCCCCGTTATCCTTATGTGCCCAGGGCCTCCAATAGGTTAAAGACTGTCCCGATTTTACCTTTTATTTTTGTCTACCTGGAGTTGATATCTTTGAATGTTATTAAACCTTTTTTGTTACTTGTATACATGCTCGTTTCTTTCAAATACGTATATAATTATCTTTTCTTTTTCAGAAAGTATCTTCAAAATGAAGTCCATGTCGAATGGTCATTGTAAGTACCAATACTATTAACATGTTAAAGTATACTTAAATGTGTGTATATGTTTGTGTGGAATTAAGTGTGTGTGTAATTGTAATTTAACGAAATCAGCCTCTCAGATCAGAAAGCCGGTTAAAGTTGCAATTGGCTAGTTTTTTATACATATTTTTTTTAATTGAAAACGTGAATGCTTTGTTATAATACTGTATGGCAAAGAACGCTTACAGTGCTTATAATTTAACTGAGAATAATCGCTTATATTAGTTATTAAAAGTTATGATTATGACTTTATGACCTACCGCATATCTCACATGTTTTGCAGCGTAAGAAGTTAAACAAAAAGTGATTGTTTCACAATTCAAACACAGGCACAAAATAATCGTTGGTATTTGCTATACAAACGCAATTTTAGAATGAAATTACTATAATACCTCGCTTGTGACAAATATTTCAAAACGTAAAATCAAGAAACAAACGGGTTTACGTGAATGCGATGCAAAGAGACAAAAAACGCGGATTTTCACAGTGGCAAAAGAAGTAACATGCCTTACAGGTTTTTGCAAATTGATCCATTTAGATTTAGTTTAAACTTGCATGCTTATTAACGAAAATTCTTTTAAAATTAAAAACTGCAACTAACATTTCATTTTCTCCACGCTCTATTTCATTTACGCCCCAAAGTTGATGTTTAATTAATTTAATTATTAATCTATTAATTTTTTATTATTTCGGTAACTTTTCAAAAAACACTATTGTTTTTTTGAGTAGTTTCGTCTGTATTATGACATTTTCAAGAATCAAATTCATAAATTTTTAGCAAATACAACTGCTATGTAGAAGAAACGAACTGGGGGTGAATTCAGGTATAGGAACTGGTAATTCACGAGTGGATGGACAGTTGATGTTTAATAAACATGAAAAAAGTACCAGTAACCTTATATTTATTGCTAGGTACTCCAAACAACATGTATACTGTGTACAATACGGTTCCTATGTCTACATTCACCCCTAATTCGTTCCTTCTTACATAGCAGTTGTATTTGTTAAAAATTTATGTATTTGATTCTTGAAAATGTCCTAATAAATACGAAACTATTCGAACAAACAATAAATAGTGTTTTATTTTATTTTATATGTTAAACTGAATTTTTAAAAAGTTACCAAAATAATAAAAAATTAAGTTATAACGAAGCTTCACAAAGTATCAAAGATCTCTATCAATTATATTGAAATTTAAACTTTATATTAGGGGTCGTTCATAAAAGACGTTAGCAAATAAGGAGGAGGGAGGGGTATTGCTTAGTGTGATAAATTACAAGAGGGGAGGGAGGGAGGGTCTAAGGAAATGTAACGTTCGTGGCAGTTCTTAAAATCCCATTCACTATAACTTTTTTAAAACCCCTTTCTACATCGTCCAAATCTCTTTATTTTTCGTACTCCTAGTTATATACTCTGCCCCTTCATTTCAGTCTGGGTATAAACTATTTTATACGTAGAATTTACCACTGCTTCTTATTCCTCTCTATCCCACCCTTCTCTAATTTTGCTAACAATTCCCGCCTCTCCCCTCTCGATGTAAACTTAATGTTAATAATGCATAATTCCCTTGCCCATATATATGTATCTTGGTGTGTTTCTAGCCACCCCTAACTTCATTTTACAATATCTTACTTGCACCATACTCAAACTTCCCAGTTTGCTCCAACCCCATACTTCGATGTCATATAAAGTCAGTATTCATTAGAAATATGCGATGTTCCTCTCCCCCTATTCCTATTAGCTCCATTCATCACTCCCCATGTGGATTTGGCTGCTTTCTGAACTTCTCCTGCATGACAAAAGAACTGAAAGTGGCAGACAGAAACAAACAAATCGTCTGTGGTCACCTATCCTGTATCTTACTTACTTTATGCAAAACGTTTCACTTTGAATTTCGTGACGATTTTATATGACATATTACGTACCCTACATCCGATGCATAAAAGTTAGTTCATTTTAATAACATTCACATATTATAAATTATTTAGAAAATACGTTCAAGAACAAGTACCAATTTTTTTATCAAAAATAAGAATTCATTCATCGACAACGATTTCCATAATCGATCTATCTCACTTAATGTTAATGCAAATATGTATGCATGTATGTACACATGTATGTAAATGCTTTGGCTTAGCAGTTCTTCGAACTTAAGACGTAGGAGTATTTTGTATTCTAGCCTGTCATCATCCGCTAAAATGTAAAAAATAGTCGCGAACACGAATTTAGTTTTTATAAATTGCTTTTATAACTTACTAACTAATAATAGTTTTCGCTTGTGGTTTTGTTCACATATTAGATTTTAGCCTCTTTTAATAATAGCTACCTCAGTTCTGATACTCCTTTTTAAAATAAATTTTTAAGAAATTACAGTCGTACGTAAAGGGAACAAAAAAAATCTCAAATTAGAAAAGTTCGAGTTTTAAGATTCCTCAACAAAGTCTAACACTTCACGGACTTTTTCACTTTATTGAATGGTGATTTTGATGATGTATTATGTCGCTTTAGACTCCTTATTAATGTTATTATTTAAGTTAATAAAGTTCGTGTTGTTTTTTTCTAAAAACGTCAAAAAACGAAACGTTACCGGTACTTCATGTAGAATATCATACATGCGAGTCATAAGCTAATTAATTTGATTTACACAAACGTGACATGAGACCTGACGTAATATTGGGAGTAGGCGATAAACTTGTTAAACTTACGTACCTATCTATTAAGTAGGTACATGAAGTATTGTCCTTTTACACATCTATATATATATGTGCAGGTACATGTAAATTTTAGAATGTGAAATAAAATTATATGACTTTGACCTTAACATTGGTATTTTTCGTATATTAAATTGTTTAGATTTTTCGCGTCATTTAAATTTAAAAAGGTATTACCTGCATGTATATTATACAGTCGAAGTCAGTTATAACGAAAACGGGTTGTAACGAATGCTTGGTTTTAACAAACGAAATTTAAACAGCGTCACCTAGTCAATCATGAATGTGATTTCAAAATTCTTGTATTGTTCTGATGCCGAACTTTCTGTATTTCAAGCCTTTCGACAAACTGTTCGTATGGTTATACAGAGAAACGATCCTTTATTAAAAACCAGGTTCAAAACAAAATAACTGCTATTTTAAAATAAAAAATATAAATTATGCAAATTATGCTAATATGTAGGTACAAATAACATTTATATTTTAGATGGCGTTTAGTAGTTTTCTTCCATCATTTTCCAGACGTACAAAGTACATTTATATAAATATTTACTTGATTAGTTGTAATATGTGTTTTTATTGTTTATTACTTGATTTCTATGCACTGTGTGTATTCCTATATAAATGTATATTATTTCATAAAAGTTGGAGACTTTTTTAATTACCGAAGATATTAATGAAATTCGGTAATAACGAACATCCGACTATAGCGAACATAATTCTTAACCCCTTCTTGTTCGTTGTAGTCGAGTTTGACTGTTTTGTACTACATTAATTATTAATATTGCAAAAAAAAAGCTAATTGAAATGATTGCACGTATTAATGTATTAATTAGGGTAATTAAAAGTATCCAACTGCAACATATAAATATACTGTGTATATACAATTTTATTATTGGGGTTTCTGGTCGTTAAAAAACAAAACACGAACTATAAACTTCTGTTTCGTAATCACTCTAAAAATGAATACTTAATATTCGAACTTATGATGTATTGACTTTACTCACGCAGAAATTTCGTTTAAATACTGCTCCCTGTTCTGGAGAATGTCAGAATTGTTGTAATGTTATAATATTATAGTGGTAGTGTACCTACATAGGTAATATAAGCCAAGAATATATATTTCATATCAGAAAGTCTACTAAAATATGACAGATTTCTCTGTATCTATTGGAAGGCACAAAAGGATTCTTAGACATAAAAACGGGATTTTTCATATCTGTTTTTTATTTTATTTGAGACATCTCAATATATATTTCCAGAATAGTGCGTCGAATGATGCCTCCCCTTAATAGGAACAAAAAATACAAAAAAATGTACCGGACTGTATTTTTCGAAATTGACGATTTTCTGTTACCAAATAACTGATGACACTGTCAATGAGATAAAAATTTGGTGGTACCGATGAGTGCTGGGGTGAAACGCTTTTAAAGTTAAATATGGTTTATAGTCGGTTTAAAATTCAATAAATCGTTAAAAAATAGAAATTTGCTTTTAATTAAATTGCGAATATATATATATTATTCTACCGATATTGTCATTTAAGGTCAATTTATGAACTGGTACATTCTAAAATAGTATAGAAAATGCTTTTAGGAAAATTAAAAGTATCGATAACGCTAATCTTAACTTCCAGACAACGAATGTTTTCTTTTTATAATTATAGTAATTCTATTAAGAGAATAGAGTCTCCAATAAGTGTCTGTTTTATATTTCGTATTGAAACATTAAAATATTTAAAATATTTTATTTGGAAATTGGTTTTTTACATGTATACATTAAATATTTGTGTAATTTGAATAAATAATAATTCACGAAACCCAGTGCTTTTTTTATAATTTCGTGAATATTTTTTATCTCAAGGGCTATTGCTAACAAATGTTACGAAAAAAGTCAACTAAACTTATTTATAAAAACCCCAAAACACACACCTGCTCTTGGCATAGACGTTAATACTTATGTGCCAATTTCTCATTTAATGATTTCCTATTGTTCAATGTAACCAAAACTAGACCGTTTCAGAATTACTACGTTTTGCTTTAGCAAAAATATTACACATAAAATAATTTTTTACTTCTAAAGTTCTATGTAGTTATGTAAAACTGTACAATTCTGCCAGTGAATTCTGAAGAAGACTTACAGCGCGCATATAAAAAAGATTAAATTGTTATCCAATGTTCTGCTGTCTACTTTTGCATAAATCCATAAATGAATCGCACGTCATCCACGTTAACATTTCTTCATACTTTAGTTTTAATTGGAGTACACTAAATACAATTTGAAATATATTTAAATAGGTTAATTTTTTTTTTTAGAATCCATTTGAAGTAGAAACTTGAACTTGAAAGTTGGCATACAGTAAAAAATAAAAATATTTTAGATAGTTAGCATTTAAAAATATTTACATAAAAATTTTAATGCGATATATGTATAAATTTTTTATTTTCTGTGATATGTGCGTCAAAAATATGTTCCGGGTTTTACTTTTTGAACTACCAAAACTGAATTATTAAAAGAATTTTAGGGAAGATTTTAGAGTGTGTAAAAGTTTTGTTTCTTTGTAGTATGAAACACTTTTCGAGTCTTTAATTTTCCATGTAAATAAGGAGGTAAAAAATAATCTTTATGACTTTATGTCTATCTCAAAATGTAACATCAATTTTATATTATGATACGTGTATTCCAGCATCTGTTTTAAAGATTTTACTTACTAATCTCCAAACAGTTTTTGTAAATTAATGCTGGAAAAATAATAAAAAGTCTGACAAATTCATCACCAGAAGAAATAATATAATAACTATTGAATAACTTTTGTCCAATTTTCTTCCAAGATTGTATTTTATTTCTGTCCCTTTCGTCGATGATAAACATGTTTACAGTTAAACTTTACTTAAAAATATTTTTTTTAAAACAATAGGTGAAGTGTAACGTATTTCTTCTGTAAATAGTTTTTTATTTTTAAGTAGTTCATTGAAGTCTATATACAGATTTACGTAAATTGAAATGTTATTATTGTTTGCTAATTATGATATTCAATTTTTTTACTTTATTAAGGAGTTTGGGGAATTGAGGTAATAAAAAAAGCAATTTGGTATAAGTAATTGTACGAGACATTTGTAGTGTGATTTGGTGAAACGGTTAAAAATTTGAATGATTAAACATTGTTGTTTTTGATTGGATTTTTCTGTGTTGTGTCTGTTTTTTTTAACAGTTTCACGAAATTAAATTTTGTAGACGTGTTTCCTACAATTAATTATTTACTATTTTGTGCACAAAACTAATTTTCACACTATAACCCTCAAAACTTTTTAAGTAACAGCAATGTGATTTCTGATTAATACTTACTTATTACAGCACGTCGAGAGCATATTTAAAATGTAACAAAAAAACATTGAATTGCAAAAAGGAATGATTGAAGCTCTCAATTCTTCCTTTGTTAGACATATGAGTAAACAGTAATAATAAGAAACAGTGATAAAATGAATAAACTTATAGGTTTATCGTAAATTCTTTATAGACGAAGGGAGTTTTTAATACTTAATTGATACATGGGTTGCAGGAATCATCCAAAATTATCTCAGTAAGCAATCCTATCAATTAATTTTTTGTTTTCAGCGTCAACTGAAAAGCTGGACATGGTGGAAAATGAAATAAACTTGAATCTGGTATTCCATGACGAAGTTCACCATGGAAATTTACTGGAAGGGCTGAATAAGATGAGGAAAAATCGGCAGTTTTGTGATGTTATACTCCACGTATGTGTACTGACTGTGCAGAACAGGAAGTTTTACGTTTTAGTTCACCTACTCATTCCCACGAAAAACAGTATATAAAAACTATTTTGCTTTAGTTTTTTTAACATAGGGTTTTTTTAAAACATGAGTCGTTGAAATAAAAGTAAAATTTGTCTGTTAACGGTCAGGCATTTCTATGGAACTCGACCTCGTCATGTTTATTATTTTTTAAATGTAGTGAGTAGATTTCTTATAACTTTACTACTCATATGTGTGACTTTGGTTTTTAGTTGCATAATGCATACATTTTGCTACCTATCTAAAAAAACAAACGGCTGTTTTTAATAGTTTTTTTATTGCCTGTTCGTATTCCAAAAACATATTTTACAAACGCTAGCCAAATTTTTAAAAGCCACTCGTTTTTCTCTTGGAATCTAAATTTTTGAAAACGATCAGATCGATTAGGTAATTTTAACGTATTTAAATTAGGTTGAATCAAATTGTATAATATTTTGAAATTATATTTGTGACATTATCATCAGGACTTCTATGTGCATTCATTTGTTCTTTCATATTTATTTGGTTTCTTTTTGTATTTTGTGTCATGTTATACATCTTCAGAGGATGATAAAACAAGCGATTTCAAAGCCAAATAAAATGCCTTGGTGTTTAATTATACCTTACATTAATNCATTGGAGGATCGGATGGTACCCAATCTTTGAATTCCAATATATATATATATATATGTAATTGCTTTCGGGTCTGTTCTTTGGCGTCGCATTTTTTACATTCAATTAATTTTTAGCCATTGCATTGATCGATTTAGTATCTGTTAATGTTAAATATGATTAGAAATAAATAAGTTATTTGACTTTGAAGTCATCAATTTGTTCTGCCACCCTCTAGGATGGATTTTAAAATTGTTTTGATTCAACCTGACTTACAAAAATTTTGGTGAATTTGCTTGAATAAATTAACCGTCATGAGCAAAAAGGCAGTACGTTTTTTAAGCAAACGCTCCTAGGTAAACTAATTCTTTAGTTGTAAGGAACTGCTTTAATGTTTTCTGTGTTTACAGATTCTTAACTACAATAGGTCGAGGTAACCTGATTAATTTTATCTAAATTTCTAATTTTTCATTTTGGATTAAAGTGCAGAGCCGTAACTTCATCCGTCTTTTTTTTTGTTTTATTCAGGTGGGAAATATTGAGATTCACGCTCATCGTGCTGTACTGGCAAGTGCGTCTCCCTACCTGTTCGATTTGTTTACAAACGACCAGGAACAGAAACTACCCGTGGAAAATATTATCACGTATAAATTGAACGGTGGATTTGATAAACACGCTCTTCAATTGCTCGTTGAATACGCTTACACTTCCAAACTTGACGTTCCTTACCAAAAGGTACCTTAACCATATAAATTTCATAAAAATCAACAACCAATTAAGTACCTTATTGAATAAATTAGAATGTACTTTTGGAAATATTTATGAAAAACAATTTAATTCTCACAATCGAAAGTGCGTGTAAAGAATGAATATTAAAAATTTTACTTATTGAAGGTGAAAGCTGTATACCAAGCTGCTACTCATCTAAAAATCGAAAGAGTTGCCAGATTGTGTACTGAACATTTAATCAAACATTTATCGCCTGATAACTGCATTGAAATTCGGAATTTGCCCGGAATTGCCAAGAACGAAGAATTTTGTAAAAGGGTCGATGAATATATTGCTAAAGAGGTAAGAAAAATAATCTGTAACTTTTGTAATTCTTCAGTATAATCTCAATGTCGAAGGGGTCTCATGAATATTGTGTAGGTTTCTGTGACTGATACTGTAATGACTCATTTTGAAAGCAGACATACAGTTTTTCAATACTTGGATTCATTTTTTTTTTTTTCAGTATGAAACTATTAGTAAAAGTCCGGCCCTTCTTAATTTATTCTGCGCTCGAATTGAAGTGCTTAACCAGTCTCGGCAAGAAATGAGTTTGGTGGATCAAAATTCGGTGTGTCGTTTGGTATTGGACTGGATCAAAAGGCAAATGAATGAAGAGTCTCTATCGTTAGACGCATTATCAGAAAAAACACACATGCTTTACATTGCTATTGACAATTCTTTACAAGATTGTTCCGGTTTACCTTCAGGTAGGCAGTGTTGACATTATTATTATCAAAAATGTTTATAAATACGGTAGTATATACACGAGACTACATATGCTAGCCAGTTAATATGATAATAAACAATTGCTGCTTATTATCTTTATACATTTAATTATTGTTTTGTAAACTTATCTTTTTTAATGTTTTATCAATTTATCATGTTGTTTGAACCTCTTGATTAAACGCACTGACGTGAAAACAGAAACCCTTACGTGAATTGTTAAGAAAAATATATTTTAATAATTATAAAAACAATAGTACACCTTTCCCCGTTCACTTTAACCTTTCACGAAGGCAAACCGTCGAATAAAAAAATCTGCTCTGAATTGCGTTAATTTTTACGAATTCGTTTTAATGCTTCTGAAAATAATCTTAAAATGTCAAAGACTGTCTCTCTCATAGAGACGTAATAATGATAAAAAAAATATTCTTTAGCAGCATTTGTTAATCTTCGAAATTTTGATAGGGGATATAAGCGATACGGAAATAGTACAAGATTATAAGAAAATGTCTTCAAAAACTGGAAAGCCTAATTCCAAGAACAAACGTAAATTCCTCGGCCAACCAACAAAACCTCGCGTTTTAATCCATTCACGTGAAATTGGTGAAGAACCTGAAGTTGAAAGAGAACCTGACTGGAGTCTTATAGCTACCTCGAAACTTGCTGATCACAGTTTTCTTGCTTTGGTCACCTTAGCAGGGCAACTTGCTTCCTTATCCATACAATTGAGGTAAATGCCTATTTAAATAAAACTAGAGGTTTCCACGCTTATTCAATACTTTTCAGTAATGTGAACATTTTGAAGAAAAAAAACTTTCGCGCAATAATTTCGCAAAAACACATGTATTCGCATTATAGTGAAGCGCAAGTCGTGTGAGTGTGATTGCATGAACGAAAAATGTGAATTCTTCAATTTGATATATACATATAATCGTACATGTACTTGCGGCCTAAGTAAACCCTACTTCCGAAATAGAATTCGCTTTTAGATTTAATTTTAAATGTCCTTACTTTATGTTCGTTTGTTTTTCTTAGACTGAATACACCAACCACCCCGTCACCAATAACAACCCCCGACGTAAGTCGTTCGACGAGCGAAGAAAAGCCCGATCTATATTGTGCAATTGCAAATATGTCTTGCGCTCGTTGTTCCATGGGTTGTGGTAACCTTAATAACACACTGTTGGTTTGCGGTAAAATAAAAAATAATAAACTGTTTATAGATATTTAATTCGCTGCTTATTGTTTTAGGTGGGTATGATAGGGTTGAGTGTTTGAAAACAGTTGAACAATACATTCCTGAAATTAACAAGTGGAAAGAACTCCCCTCGATGAAGTACCCTAGGGGACGTGTCCAGATAGCAGTCCTTTCCAACAAAGTCTATGCCATTGGAGGCAGTAACGGTACAACTGAGCTGGATTCGGTTGAGATGCTGGATGTTAATGCTGGTATGTTTTAAACTCATGCTTCTTAGTCAAAAGCGAATTTTAAATTTAGATGTTTGTAGAAAAATGGGTATCATTGCCTAAATTACCATTGGCACGTAGTAATATGGGTGTATGTGACTTGAATGGTCTTATCTACTGTGTTGGAGGATGGAATGGACAAGTGGGAATAAAACAATGTGATACTTTTGATCCAGAGACTTGCACGTGGTCTACTATAGCTTCTCTGAATACAGGTAATTAATAGATAAAAATTCGTTTCGACTTGCAGCCCTCATATTTTTAAATTGCTGTTGGTTTAGGGAGATATCAAGCTGGTGTAACTGCTTTTAATGGTCTTGTTTACGCCATTGGAGGCTCTGATGCCTGGAACTGTTTGAATACTGTCGAGGTTTATAATCCAACTGATAACGTTTGGACTTTCTCTAAACATATAATAACAGCAAGAAGGGGTTGTGGAGTAGCAGTTTTCAACAACAAACTATATGTCATTGGAGGATCGGATGGTACCCAATCTTTGAATTCCACTGAAGTTTTTGATGAGGAAACTCAGAGCTGGATGGTGGGGCCAAGTATGACAACACCAAGGTCTAATGTGGAAGTTGCAGTCGTAGGTGATAGACTTTATGCTGTTGGTGGATTTTCCGGTAAGTTGCTTCTTATTTTTTGTTTTAACTGACTATAAATGTTCGAAAAGGAAATTAAGGGGTGTATCATTTTTAATAATTTTGTAATACATAATATTTTCTTAAAAGAGTTAACTAGTTGGAAAAGCGAAGCTGTTATATAAATAACATATAGGGCGAAGGATTTTACAAAAAAAATTAAAATTTATGATTTGAAATTGAATTATAATTTGAGGAGGTAATGTAAAAACCGAATAGTTTATTCATTTTCTCCTTTATATTACAAGTGTAAAGATCGTTATTTATTTTTTTATTTTATTTACTTAATCGGATGACGTTTTGTAATCATAAAAAAATAATTCAGTTTTCTCTGTTTTACATATCATTACGCATTTCGCTAAATGTATTGATCATTGACAGACCCGTTTGATTTTTTCTAAATCTTTGAATGATGCAAGAATATAAACAAGTAGCAATTTTTTAAAGAAATTAAAAGTATCTGTATACTACAAAATGATTACTTATGTTTTCTGTTTGATAGGTAAAAGCTTTTTAAATACAATTGAATATTTGGATTCCAATTCAAATGAGTGGACGACATTCGTCCCTAAGATTACATCGGAGCCCTACAAGAGGCACAGGCGTTCCAGTAGAAAAAGTGTATCAGATGAAGCAAAGACTAGCGAACTAAAATCACCACAGAAGTCTGCACTTGAAGAACAGGAATCCAAAAAGGAGAACAGAGCTTGTAACTTGTAATTTGGGAGGAATATCATTTATTTTAAGTAAAAATTTACTTAATAAAATAATGTAAGGCATATTTACTATTTCCCTTGCTGTTAACTACTTAAAATAAATATAAGCATCCCAGTTATTATCTATTGTTCTCCTGTCTGTAAGATGACTTTTTTGTTTTCCTAGGAGCGTAATTGAACTAGTTGTAGACGTTTTTATTTCTAATTACGTTTACCTTTTCTATAAATTTTAAGAGACTATAACATTCAATGATAAATTAATTAATTAATTATAAAGGGTGAGCGTTCCGAAATTTGTTTAGTTATTTAACTACTTATTTTAACTCGTTTAATCGAGATAAAGTAATTTTGCCATTGTGTAGAGTTTTTTAAATTTTAAATATTTATTTTATTTTTCTTAGGAAAAACATTATAAAACAGTTTTGTTGGATATTTCGTATTGGTATTTAGCAAAGTAAAATAAAATTGTGTTGTTTGTTTCTAATTTTAATTTATTTACGATTTCAGAAAGTGTTTCTTATTTTTAGTTAAAAAAGTAGACAGCTAAATGTCCAGCAATCCTGTTAATAGAAAATTGTAGCAAAGGCTAAAGGGCCGTAAGCATAATAAACCGGTCCTCGTGAAACATTTTACTTATATTTTTCGATAACTAGGTATAATATTAAAATCCTGAACGCCTGAAAATCGAGCTTGGCGTTTTCATCAGATTTACTCCAGACTAATTGTAATAGAAATTTAATTAAGAGGTACTGAAAAAACAATTTATTTTTCTTAACTGATAAAACTTGTTTCTTTTTTTTAATATAGCATATTCTACCTACTTATCTTGAAAGCATGAGAGGTACGTTGAAAGGGCCGAATGGTTCAATAGCCTTATCTCCCTAAGGGTTTTATTTATTTATAACTTGTTTAAAAGTACAATAGTTACTGATTGTATTGTCAAATTGATTATGTGCCTAACACGTTCTACATGCAAATCTCTATCTTAACAAGAAGTGCATTTACGTATTTAAAAGGAGAATTAGTAATTGCATTTTTGTATCTTATTTATAGCCGTTGAAAACGGTGAAACTTTTTAAAGCTGCTTTCAGGTTTATTGTAATAAAATGGACTGTATCAGTAATATATTTTGATAAGCACTTTATATTGTATATCTCTATCTGTAAATGGGTGATTTTTACTTGATATTCCCGGCGTCTAATACATATACTGGCAGTCAAAGAATCTACTACTGTGTATCAGTTATTATTTATATTTGATAGAGCAATATTTTATAAAAAACATTCTATAATAAGTTAATTGACTTTAAATATATATAATTACGAATTAGGATGTATAATCTATGGCTAATCGTAATAAAACATCAGTATTATAAAATGTTTTTAATTAACTAAACTGGTAGTAAATTGGAAAATAAATTGTAGGATTCAACCAGTAGGTATTCTTACAAAATAATGCCATATTACTGTCTTTAACAGTAAAGTAAAGGAAGAAGATCAATAGTCTAGTCTCCGCATCAAAATAAATAAAAATTATTTTAATTCATTCTTTCTACTATCACGAAGCGTTCGTAAAGTGAAAGGTAAGTACTAAGTAAGAATTACACTTTAAACCCCTGAAATATTTTCGATAATACTTTTTTTAATGGCTAGTTACTATTATTGTTGAAATAAATTTATAAATGAATTATGTGTTTTTAATTTAAAAATGCAATATAATCTGATAATTGGCAAAAATAAAGCAAACGAGAGCATATTTAGATCATTTATTGAATAATCTTTGATATTGGATGTGATTTATTGATGAATTAAACAAAAATTTTCTGCAGAAGTTCGATTTTAGTTCGTATACGTAGGTCGATATTAACCGTAAAAACGTAAAAAACACCATAAATAATAATTGTTTGGCAAAAATAAAGCAAGCGGGAGCTCTTTATATCATTTATTGTTTAATCTATATCATCAGTTATCATTTATCGATGAATTAAGCAAAAATATTTGGCCGAAGTTCGATTTCGGTTCCCAAAAACAATCGACAGGTAGCTATACATGGGTTATTTTTGGGAACCGAAATCGAACATTAGGACAAATTTTTTCTTAATTCGCCAGTAAATGATAACTGATATGGATAATTGATTAATAAATGATAAGAAGTAGCTGTGGCTTGCTTTATTTTTGTTCAAAAATGGCTATTTATGGTGTTTTTTACGTTTTTCCGTTCAAGGTAGCTCCACGTATATGAATGAAAATCG